AAAAAAAAAAAAAAAAAAGCCCAGAACCACATTATTTGACTGGTGAATTCTACCAATTATTTAACACCAATCCTTCTCAAAGTCTTCAAAAACCATAAAAGCAAGGAAACACTTCTTAAGTTATTCTCTGACACCAATACTATCCCGATACCAAAGCCAGATAAAAAGTCACAAGAAAACTATAGACCAATATCCTTTATGAATATAGAAATAAAAATCGTCAACAAAATACTACTAAAACTGATCTAGCGGCATATTAAAAGAATTATAACCCACAATCTGGCAACTGTTTCTGGATATATACCCCAAAAAAGTGAAAGCAAGGATGGGAAGCGCCATTTGTATATCGATATTCATAGCAGCGTTATTCACAATAGCGAAAGGGTGGAAGCAACCCAAGTATCCACAGTGAGGTGATGGATAAACAAAACATGGTATAGTCGCACAATGAAATATTATTCAGCATTAAAATGGAAGGAAATTCTGACACATGCTAAAACACTGATGAAGCTTGAGGACATTATATTAAGTGAAATAAGCCAATCAAAGGAAAACTATTACATGATTCCATTTATATGAGGTACCTAGAGTAGTCAAATTCATAGAAACAGAAAGTTGAAGGGTAACTGGCAGGGACCAGGGGAGAGGGGAAAATGACGAATTCTTGTTTAATAGAGAGTTCCAGTTTTGCAAGGTGAAAAGTTTTGCAAGATGAAATACATGGATAGTGGCAATGGTTGCACAACAATGTGAATGTACCTAATGCCACTTAACTGTACACTTAGAATGGTTAAGATGGTAAATTTTATGTATTTGTAATTTACCACAAAAAAATTTTTAAAAAGATTGTACACCATGAACAGGTGAAATTCATACAGGGTATGTGAGGGAGTTTCAATATATAAAAACCAATCAGGCTGGGCACCTATAATCCCAGCACTATGGGAGGCCCAGGCAGGAGGATCACTAGAGCCCAGGAGTTAGAGACCAGTCTGGGCAGCATAGTGAGACACTATCTCTACAAAAAAATTTTTTTAAGAAAGAAATTGGCTGGGCATGGTGGTGCATGCCTGTTGTCCAAGCTACTCAGGAGGCTAAGGTGGGAGGATCACCTGATCCCAGGAGTTTTAGGGTGCAGTGGGCCATGACTGTACCACTGCATTCCAGCCTAAGTGACAGAGGAAGACTCTGTCAAAAAAAAAAAAAAAAAAAAAAAAAAAAAAAAAAAAAAAAAAAAAAAAAAAGAAAAGAAAAGAAAGAAGAAAGGAATAATCAATGTAATACACCACAATACACAGTCACCTCAGTTGATGCAGAAAAGCATTTGACAAATTTCATCACCTTTACATGATTTTTAAAAAATTCAACAAACTACGCATAGAAAGGAATTTCCCAGCCCTGATAGAGGGCATCTGCAAAAAACCTACAGCTAACATCATGCTCAATGGTAAAAGACTCAAAGTCTTCCCGAATATAAAAAACAAGAAAGACAAGGTGATTGCTCTTCTACTCAACATTTGTAATCTAAGTTCCAGACAGGACAATTAGCCAAGAAAAATAAATAAACTGTATTCCAACCAAAACATAAAAAATGGCATCCCATGTTCACGGATTTAAAGACTTAACATTGCCAACATAGCAATAATACCCAAAGCAATCTAGATATTCAATGCCATTCAAAATTCCGGGAGCCTTGTTTACAGAAATGGAAAAGCCAATTCTCAAATTCATATGGAATTGCAAGGGGCCAAAAAACAGCCAAAATTATATTGAAGAGAACAAAGTTAGAAAATTCACACATACTAATTTCAACTTAATACAAAGCAATGACAGTCAAAACAGGATAGCACTGACACAGGGACAGACATATATATCAACAAAATAGAACTGAGAATCCAGAACTAAACTGATGCATCT